GTCCAGAACCTCTAAGACGGTACCAAAGACCGGGTCCGGTCCAGAACCTCTTACGTTGAGCGAGCCGAGCAGGACCAGCGTGTTGCCGATGCCCAGGTGGTAGATGGACCTGATGATCAGCGCCAGGGTGAGCGGCTGCAGGCCGTACTGCTGAGAGAACAGACCCAGAACCGAGAGTCCGGTCAGGATCCAGAACAACATCAACAGCATGGAGTCATCAATGGCTCCTGCAGGAGGACAGGAGAGGAGGAGGTGGGGTTCAGGAGGAGAAGAGTCGCTCCTTCCCACCACACTGAAGAAACACCAACAGTTACAGCAGAACCATTTGGACCGGTTCTAAAAAAGTCCTGAACTCATTTATTAAAACACGATCCAGAACACTGAGAGGTTCTGAACAGGTCCGAGGGAACACACTGGACCAGAACCAGTCAGGCTTCAGTACCTTGACCCGAGTCGTAGGGGTAGAAGAAGGCGATGATGAGGTTGATGAAGAGGGCGAGCTTGAAGGAGATGGTTCCCCACAGGGTCATCCGTCCAGAGAACCAGTACAGAACCGGCATACCTGGACTCACAAAGAGACGGGTTCCAGAACCAGCAGTGGCTCAGGGGACAACAGAAACATTAAAGTTCTCCTCACTCCTCAGCTTCTTCTGCCACTCCATCTCTCCGTGCAGGAAGGAGGTCTGATCGAAGAAGTGCGTGACCTTTGACCCCTGCTCGTCCTGCTCCGTGGTGTTGAACACCCTGAACTTGGACTCCTCGGTCAGGAACTCGCAGATGGGATGGACCGGGAACACGATCTGCTCCATGCTGCGGTCTTCCCGGACGATCTGGGAGCAGACATGGAGAGTCAGAACCAGCGGAGGAACCGAGAACTAAAAGGTTCAAGGTTCTTTATTGCCGCATCACATGTGGTGCATGAGGTGGAATGAAATTATGTACTCAGGGTCCCAGTTACACCAAAAATATCAAAAATATAAAGTATAAAAACAAAACAGTAAACAAGGATCTGAGATATACAGTAAACCAGGGGTGCCCAATACGTAGATCATGATCTACCGGTCGAAGGCAATTTGAGGAGATCACATGACAAAACAAACGTCAGACTTTTAAAAATAATGTCTTAATTTTTATTTTTTAGATAAATGTGAGACTGGACCTGTTCTGACACATTACCTGGCATGTGCAGACAACTGCGCTAAAAACAAACACGTTGCCCAAATATTTTCCAGTTTATTTCTTCTAATCTAAACTGTTAACGAGTTGTGGAGCTGGACCACGTCAGAAGCAAAAAAACTACAATTTCATACAGAACGAGAGGAGAACTTTGGGTTTTTTTTCACAATGTCATATTCACAGTGTGTTTGCCTCATCTGCCAGTGCAGCAGCATTTTCAGACTATTAATAAAAACTACGACACTGACTTTCTTCCGTAAAGCTGAGAAAACAGTCATTTTTCCTACAACTGACCACAGCAGAGAAGCATCATTCTGGTGAGTCACTTTAAAAATTGTTAAGTCCTTTAAACCAGCCACTAGGGAGCACCAGCCAGTGTCTCTCTGGTTCTTGTCCCAAGCCCGGATAAATGGTGAGGGTTGTGTCAGGAAGGGCATCCAACATAAAAAATGTTTGCCAAAACTACAATGTGAGTTCAACAAAGCAAATCCATACCGGATCGGTCGAGGTCCGGGTTAACAACGACCACCATTGGTGCTGTTGACAAACAGGGTGCCGGCGGAAATTGTTCTACTGTTAGTTGAAGACCACGAGGAGGGAAACATGTCAGGAGACAGAGGAGAAGAGGAAAGTGAAGAATGTAGGACTGAGGGTTGCAACTCTAAATGTGGGGACAATGACAGGCAAAGGCAGAGAGCTGGCTGACATGATGCTGAGAAGGAAGGTAGATGTTTTATGTGTCCAAGAGACCAAGTGGAAGGGCAGCAAGGCTTGCAGCATTGGAGCAGGGTTCAAACTGTTTTACCATG